AGCATGGAAACATACCTCTTCCGATGCCATATAGCATTCACTGGTGCCAGAAGGGTTGACACGCCAGGCTGACTGACTTTTCCCAGCGACAAATGCAGCTACCTCAGCACAAGTCAAATCAAATCACCACTCACCCATGATTCGATTGCGGAACACCGAAGTATCTCATCGGAAACAAAGACAATAAGAAACAACATCAATTATGCAAATTCATTGGATGAACAGCAAAAAAACACAGAAGAACTTCACTCATCTTTACTCCGCCTTGCCGCGAGGCACAGCTGCATCTGCTGCGTCCTTGGTTTGCAGTAGGGCTACTGAGGTAAGTGACGTTAAGTAGTTGTTCAGGGAAAACCAAGGAATATCTGAGGATATGACCTGAGTCAAAACCACGAACAGTATACGCGCACGTTGGCGCTGCTGCCGTTGCTTCCTTGCGGCATTCCTTGGCCAAGCAATGCAGTGAGGAATCTTGGACCTCGTAGTAAAGTCAGCATGGTAGGGGTCACTCTACAAAGGCAATCTCACTGTGAATCTCAAAAACATACACTCAGTTGGTTGGCAACAAAAGAACTTGCTAAACATCCAAAGTTCAGCATGGAATTTCACAATTCACATTGAGAGCAAAAGATATCAATGTCGTTTCAAAAACAAATTTGCGATCTGATCCTATCTGAGTCCATAGCTTTGAGGAGCTGCCCTTCATGTCTGTTGGCACTGGGATGTCGGATGGAACCTCTCCGAAACCATTGTAGATGGTGAAAACTGTTGCAGGAATTGGTTGATGACCACTCCCCAAGGTTTGGACAAAGATTGTCAAAACGCAAAGTCATCCAAATGACTCTCAACTGCCAAAAAATCTAAGAACTTAGTTTTCAAATGTGTTTGGCACCTAGGTAAATTAGCCTAAACCCTTTAGGCCAATGCTTAGTAGTTTTGACAATCCGTTGATATGGGATATGGTTCGGCCTGGTTCAACTGCTGCGAAAATCTGTTGCACAAACCGATATGACTCCCTTCCTGCCTGTCTTTTCCACACCAGTTGCTGGACTGCAGCCTTCAAAATAATGATGGAACTGAAGGCTTTGTGATTTGTGCAAGTCTGTCTTTCTTGGTAACTTATATATGCCTAGAATACGTCTCGCAGAATTGCTGCGTTTTTGGTGTTAATTGTCAAGTTCAAAAAATGAGGAAGTCTCGCAGAATTGCTTCGTTTTCAAGCTTGCAAATTGCAGATAGACAGATAGACAGATAGACAGACAGATAGACAGACAGACAAACAGACAGACAGACAGATAGATAGATAGATAGATAGACAACTGCAACTGCACTACACCACACTACAACTAAAACTTCAACTGCAACTACCCTACCACTACAACTACAACTTCAACTACACTTCAACTACAAGGACTACAGCTACAACCACAACTACAAGTTCAACTACACTTCAGCTACAACTACAACCTCAACTACAAGTACAAGTGCCACTACAACTACAACTGCAACTACAACTGCAACAACTACTACAACTACACTACAACTGCAACTGCAACTACAGCTGCAACTACAACTACAACTTCAGCTACACCACAACTACACTTCAACTACAACTTCAACTACAACTTCAACAACAACTACTACCATGACACTGCACTGCAACTACAGCTACAGCTACAACTACAACTGCACTACAACTACAATTACACTACAGTTACACGTTACAACTACAACAACAACTCCTACAACTACTGCAACTGCTACAATTACTACAATTAAGACAATTACAACTTCAACTGCACTTCAACTCCACTACAACTACAACTACAACTACAACATTACAACTTCAACAACATCAACCCGACTACTACTACTACGACGACTACTACTGCTACTACTACTACTACTACAACTACAACAACTACTACTACTACTACTACAACTACTACAACTACACTACTACTACTACTATTGCTACTACTACTACTACTACTACTACTACTACTACTACTACTACTACTACTACTACTACTACTACTACTACACTACTACTACTTCTTCTTCTACTACTACTACTACTACGCTTCTTCTTTTTCTACTACTACTACTACTACTACTTCTTCTTCTACTACTACTACTACTGCACTACACCACACTACATCCAGGAGTTGTGAGTGAGGTGACCACTGCAACCATTGCAACCACTCCAAAAAGCACAACTCCAACCACCTTTCGGTCCATCAGTGGATTCGCTCTGCCATCCATGCATCACAACAACTCACCTCTCCTGTAGTGTCCTAGCCACCGCCTTGTGCGGTACTACTGGTAATCATATATAAGTGAAGTGAAATCTGTCTGTAAAGCTTATTCTTCGACCACAGACCATTCATGCGTGTCATCTTATCCAGCAATCTAAACGGACTGCTGTAACATCCCAATTAGGATGGTAAAACTCTTAATTATGGCAAATCGCTTGACCACCCATTGACCCATTCAATTTGTTTCTGGGTTTGAAATCAGACTGAAAACGCACCATTACAACCATATTGCAACCATATCAAAATGCAGGGAAGTTACTCTGTTACCAGACTTACCAGTTGAACACCTCGTTCAGAAGCCTCGCGTTTCTCGGCTCCCCCGCGCGGAAAGATTCCACCACCTTTGTGCTGGCAGTGGCCAGGTTGGCGACCACCACAACCTCGACCATGAGAATTGGAGCACTTCCACAGCAAATTTGGGCATCCAGCTGATTGACATAGATCCCATCACAATGATTCACAATCTATCTAGAAATGACATGATTATGATTGACATGATTTTGATAGATTATGAACTACATAATATTATTATCATAATCCTCCACTTGTACTATGTTGACATGAAATTCACATAGTGAACGTCCCACCACATCTACAAGATCAGGAAAGGATATAACATAGTAGCCATTACCGTGCAAGCCGCGTCCCACCCATTGCCTCATGTTTGGAGATCAACCCCTCCAATTGCTTCTCCTGCAAGCTGATGGTTCTGCTGGCCATCTGGTTTCAGTTGAGGCTTTCAGGACATCACCAGTTGAGTCATCAGGAAAGACATCAGCAGAACTCGAAGAGTATGAAGCCTCTTCGATTGAGATTCATAAGATAGAACATATTAGAAAATGAATGAACATGATAATTCATGATACAAGACTTTCCTCCAACAAGCTCAATCTCATTTGTCCTTTGTGGCAATGGAGATCTGCAATGGCTCACCCAGCTGACAGGAACGGCATCATTAGCCATGCCAATCAAACAAACTGCAACTGTCAGAGCCAAAGTAAGTACCAGTAGTATCTGCCAGAAGCCGAGACAAAGGCAACAAAAGCATCAGTTCAATCCTACAAAATGACATCCCAAAGCCAAAAAAATCTGACATGCCACAAGTTATCTAAGATCCCAGGAATATTTTAACATATCTTAACATATCTTAAGATTAATCACCTTTAAAAAAACGTTGCAATGTTCACCCATCACCACAGTATCTGATGACCTCTTTGGGCACCAGCTGCTGGTGCAGGTGCCACAACATCAACGCCTTGCAGAGCGGAAGGTATCTTGGCGTGTGGAGGAAGGCTGCTTCCAATGGAGATTCAATAGAGATATAAGACACATAATATACATACATATTATTATGTAATACATATGTGGGTTTACAATATCAATATATTACTTTAAAATGACTTACCGTAAAGATCAGTAGAGCATATAAATGATATTAAAGGATCTTTCTGGAAATATGGAAGTCACATCTAGCAAAATGGACTGGTCCTTCAAGCCTCAAAAAACACATGGACATATTAATAAATGGGGACCATTCTATGATATTCAATGTCAACTGTCGGCTATCGGCCCGAAGGTTGCCTTGTCCCCAGGCTTCGACAGGAGCTTTTGTATCCACTCCTTCTGCGAAGGAACTGGCTCGCCAGCCTTATCTTGGAACGAAAAAGGACTGGCAGGGTCTAGCCATCACAGCCACCGGAGTTGCGTTGAACAGTAAAGTTATCACATCTAGCAACAATAATTGCTGCACAGATTCCAAGACATCTAATTGATGTTTCTATTGATCAAATCGTGTCAGGGCAAGAAGATAGCATGCGGTAAATATGCATCATATTAATCATATTCCTTCTTGTGCACAGTGTTTTCCATGTCAGTTGTGTCAGACATGGGATCATCATGGCAACATACAGTAGGACCTGAAGCGGGACTGGGACTGAGAGCCCCCACTCGCACAGCGATGTGCGCCGGAGCAGTTTTCGGATCAATGTATTTTTCAGCGTACACTTTGTCCTGGGAGAAGAGGCAACAGAGCATCATAAAAGCAGCGAATACTGTACATGGGATAAAACCATATTAGCTTCAAAAATTAAAGAAAATTCAAGAATATCAATAAGAAGGTAAAGGCACCAAGATCAATAACAAGAACAAGACAAAAACTCAACAACCAAAAGGGAGACAGCACAACATCAGAAATGCTGCCCTTCTCAAGCACCTCAAGCATGTCTACGATGCCGCACGCAACCTGAGACTTGGCAGCTGTGACCTCCACAATGTAGGGTAAGACCTCCTCGACATATCTAGACATAGAAAAATATAGAAAAATGCACCGTTATCAACTTGACAAAACGTGTCTCAAAGCAGCCATCACTGTTCCTGTGGAGGGAATCCAACAAGTCTCAACAGGGAACGAATGGAAGAAGATGAGCCTTGTCATGTTTAATCTTTTGCCGTCATGGCAAGTGGGCATACGTCGTTTCTCAGACCAAAATCCTCCTTGATATCGGCCGACCCTTGGTTTTGCTGCCACGCTGCTCTGGACCACCGAAGATCTTTGCAAGCCTGTCAAAACGGGTTACAAGTAGCTGGCCGAACAACACTAAAATGACAATTATGATAATTACAATATGGATCAATATGGGTCCATACCATTTCAGCTACTACAAACTTAATCCTCATTGACTCATTACCCACCATTGTAGAACGAAGGCTACGTACACATAAATATTATGTAGCATGAAAGAATTGTTTGTGACGCCTGTGCCGTACATTGCTTGATTCTTTCGACTACAGCGATGACTCTACCTCAAAAAACATAAAATGACATTGTCCTGCCCCTTTCCAAAACACAAAAAACCCGGGCCGCATCGGAACCTCATGAAAGCCCGCAACAATGGCTCCCTGTTGGCAGCGCTGGAATTCCATCGGTGGGGGAGCGGGTCAAACATGGTCAAACCCAAGCTATTGCTTCGCAAGGCAAGCAGAAAGGACAATACCACACCATGAACATCCATGAACATGATTTTCTGGGAGCTGCTTGACAGAAATGTGGAGTGGGATGGGCAGGACGCCAGAACTTGGTAAAACACCTCGAACTTTTGCCGTCCTTTTGCGATAGGAATCAACATGATCGCAAAATCATGCAAGACGTGAGCCTTGTAGGCATGGTGCGAAACCAGGTTCCGCTCGTAGAAAAGCAGAAAGACCAAGTCGTTGTCCTTCAATTCTTTTTACATCAGAAGCATTGCAGGTACAATGACTCCGCTCTGGCTCTAGATTGAACTGCCACTAAATGGTATGCTGAGAGGAGTCAGTTTGTTCTTGTTTGGAATCAGTTTATCCTACCCTGATGCCTGATTCGATTTGATTTTTCTGCCACAGTAGCTAAGCTAGGACTTCTGGGGTGGTGAAATATATCAGAACATCACCTTCACAATACCATCACAGTATGGTGAAGCCCTACCTTGTAGAAATCCTCCAGCGACGAGCACTCGTCGCAAGGTTGGCCTCACAGCTGTGTTTTAGTCAGGCAACAGTAATGGGGATTAAAGCTGAATATATTCTTCATATTTCTTCATGACGTTCCCAGTGGTTGGTCACTTGCATCCCTTTGGTCAGTTGATGTCAGTTGTATGCCTATTTCTTGACCATAGTGGGGTGTATCGGAGTATGTATCAATCTCTTTTCTGTAAAAATCCATTTTTGGCTGGGGACTGGCCCCATCAGCAGAAAGACAAGTAGGAACAATTCTCCGGACCATCTGTGACGGATTGTAATTTAAATCTCGCGGATCTGAAAGAGAGGAAGGACATGGAAGGACCAACCCCAACCTTGTAGGGGTATATAATAAATCCACATAAAAGGTCCATAAATCCATATATATATATAAATCCATATAAATCCCAAATATCAAATATCCCCAACTAAATTTGACTGCAAATCTTTAGCACACCGATGTGTGTTATTCACCGACGGACGAGAGAAAAATGGCTTGGGTTACCTCAAGCACCCCAGGGCCCCAGGGTGGTCGCCTGACGCGTTCCCAAGAACACACGCCTCTTTTGCTCAAATATCTATATTTTGACATGAATAATCTATATTAATAATTGGGAATCTATCAGCCAAACTAAGCACACCTTGCGGAACTGACAGAGACCGTACATGAAGAATGGACAGCACAGAAGCTCTGAAGACTCGATGGCAAAGTCACACGTTCCAGGCTTTGGCTGAACACACCACCAAAACTCAAGCTTTGAAGACTCGATGGCAAGGTCACACGCTCCAGGCTTTGGTTGAACCCATCACCTAATATCAAGCTTTGAAGGCTCGATGGCAAGGTCACCCGGTCCAGGCTTTGGTTGAACCAACCACCAAAACTCAACCTTTGAAGACTTGATGGGAAGGTCACACACTCCAGGCTTTGGTTGAACTCTTCGCCAAAGCTCAAGCTTTGAAGAGTCGATGGCAAGGTCACAAGCTCCAGGCTTCTGTTGAAACTCCGGCCAAAACTCAAGCTTTGAAGACTCGATGGGAAGGTCACTCGCTCCAGGCTTTGGTTGAGAAACTCCGCCCAAAACTCAAGCTGTGAAGAGTCGATGGCAAGGTCACTCGCTCGAGGCTTTGGTTGAACTCTTCGCCAAAACTCAAGCTTGCAAGGCTGCGGGGCAGATGATGTAAATACTCTCCAGGCACTGCTCCCTTAAGTTGCGTTACGCCTTCGAGCACAAAGTCTCTCTCGCATGTTGGGAGCCCACATACATAACTCCATGCAGTGTACAGATTGGTTGATATGTATATGTGCATGACAGCATTGCCGATTTTCCAACAATCCCTTGCTCTCCCAAGGTTTGATTCAGTCAGGTTTGCATTCGCATGATGGCGGGCTTTGCGCCAGGCTTGCATGGAAGCTTCTCGGACACCAATCTCCGCAGGTCATACCCGAACATAGAGCGGGGCAGGCTTAATGACCTTAATGTCACTCCTTCTCCAGTCAAGCACAGCACCTGAAGATTGACCTCATCAGTTTCATCTGTTGCACTTTCGTCAGTAGATGCCGGATCCATGTAGCCATGGTGTGCACCGGACATTTGTCAACATACACGCTCCTCGCTACGAGGCAAAGCTGAAGTTGAGCTCTGTGCTTCGGTCAGAGTTTCACAAAAACCAACACAGCCCGTAAATCAAACAGGGAACACCAAGATGGTCATTTTCAACTGCCAAAAAGATCCAAAAAGTCTATTCCACCCCCAGTTTTGGGAGGCGTCAAATTATTAGTTTTCAGGACTCCTGATGAGGTGCAATCCATTCTGGAGATAACAAATTCTGCAGGTTGGTAGTTGGATTTGCCCAAAAATGGGTCTCTCTCTAATCCAGTAGTTCAGCAAAGAATTGTGCCTATTGAATTGGTCAGAGCAGCTAGTCTACTTTTCTGCCAGTAGCTTTCGTGGATTCTTGCGTCCCTAGGTCCTCTTCAGCCTCTTCCTTGTGATTCTACACTTCAGTGAAGTCTTGAAAACCGGACATGTTTTATGTTGTGAAATCTTCATGCTCGCTCAAACTTGCTTAAATTTGCAGCTGTTCTTTGCAAACGCAAAGCTGCAACATATTTCTAAAGCCAGCGCACACATTGCCGACCTCCATCAGCCACACAGACTTCTGATCGTTGAACATCTTATGGACAAGTCAACTTTCAAAACAACACCATATTGAAGAGTTGAACAGTTGAACAATTACATTATGAATCCGAATAGTCTATACTATATACATTTATATACTATTATATACTATACTGGATGGTAAAATTATAAACGCCACCATCAGACTTTGCTTCTTCTGCCACCAAAAAAATGGATGGCCCAACGGGAAAGCCATGGCATCCAAGGATATCCAAGGCATGGGCGCGTCACTCGGATGATGTTGCTTTTCCTGGCCTGGCAAAGAGCGCACGGAAACCGTAAAAGGGGCCAGGTTCAGCACGAGTACTTGCATTTATGCACCGTCATGTAGAGAATTCAATCCATTAAATGTATATATATATATACAGTATATATATATATTACATGTATAATCATATATAATCATATATACTTGTATTATCTTGTATTGCATTAAATTATCTTAGAATGTATTGTAAAATGCGACCTTCAAAACATATGTTCCTCTTTCTCTGTCCAGCCTCCCAAGGCGCATCCACGATGCTCACAGCAAATACTGCGTGGAAGAGCAGTGGACTTGGCGTGGTCATCCGCGCCGAAAATGTCAAGACATAGGGTTGGATCGGTTAAAGGGAAAATCTACAAGAACAATGGTATGTTTTTGGGTTTTACCATCAACATCCATCAACTACAGGGCTTTCCTTTACATGGTTCCTTGATCCAATTCGATACTAGCACAATGAAATACAAACACCTATGATGGTGGCATCCGATGTCAAAGACATCATCAAACAAGAAGGGACAGGCTTGAACATTCGATTCCGGGCCATATATCTTAAATGGGATCTTTGTGCCAAACATGTGGACACCTACACGCAGAAGCATCAGTTTTTCATAGTTTTTCCATAGATCAAAAGTGCGGCTACCACAGGCAAATGAGAACCGGGCAGTGCCAGCAGACGGCAAGCATGCGACATGGGAAGCAAGTGAAGCTGTCACAAGTTTTCGGATCGCGTAGTTACTCGATCCCCATGTGAGACTGAACTTACTGAATTTGTCTGAATTTCCTACGGATTCTTGAATTGGCATGCCAACTGCTTTGCTATGCGCCACTTTGGGACATTGTTCGAACGATCCAAATCATATATGATTGATCAACCACCTTCGTGATAAGAGCAGCAAAACTTGATCGTCTGTATACTGTATACTGTAGTTTAATTAATAATAATTAATAACTATAGTCTATAGTTATATAAAGTTTGGGAGATGTTGTGACGTGTGTCTGAGGATATAGACCTAAAAAAAATGCCTGCGTGAGCAATATTTTTTTCATGGTCCCTAAGGTGCAAATGTCTGGCTGAAATGTTTGTGTTGTGCTTATATTTCTTTTGTGACATGAATTCATGATACCGATACCTCAGCAGCTGCAGGAATACAGGCCACCAATCATCACGAATCAATGAAAACACATGGGTTCTTTTACCAATTTATTTGGTTGATCCGAAGGGGTCGCACTCTATTCAACACATCACGGCAGGTTCTGCATCAAGTCGCACCCTCTTCCCGCACATCTGGGGTGCGAAGCACCACATGACCTGCAACCCTTGGTCAGTATTGATCAGATGGTCGGCAGGCACAAGGGAGTCGCTTTTAGTTTTAATGGATGCTGATGGCAAATAAAATAAATGTAAAACTTCCACCACCTGCCACCAACTGCAAAACGATCAAACAGGTGGGCCAATGCAACAGGTGGAACCTGTCGGATAGCGGACTGTTTCGCAAATTTGCTGCGGCATCTCCTTCCTTGCATGGGGCCCAATTCAGAATGGAAGTGGAAATTCCATGAAATTCACCCGAGCAGAAATGTGGGGCTTTTAGAGATTGGCTCACAAAATCGCAATATGCATTCTGCAGGTCTAGCGTTGGCTTTTAGCGTTGGACACTTTGAGATCCTATTTGGGTCTATTTGGTGGTCCTGCAAGCTGAGAAGGCTGACAACCGGTGGGAGTATTTCATGCTGGAGATAGAATCTATATGAATCTATATAAATCTTTCCTGCTCATGTCTTGAAGCATTGAACAGCAATCGGTTCTGTGGGGCTGGCCTTCGCAATGACCCACGGCATCATGGGAACCTGTCTCTCAACGTGTCAGCATGGCTCAAAAAGCACCAAGGTACCTACTCAATTTTCTGGCAGTATATTGATTTTGAGCCAATCCCATAACCACCACACTTGATTCCGAAAAGATATTTTGGGCCAAGCTGAGCTTAAGCCATGCTTTCTGTGTGAAAGGTGGTACAACTCTGGTACAACCTTTCATTATAACACGATACAAAATGCAAGAGAACCAACAAAGGATCTACAGTCAAAGGAACTCACTACTGCAATTAGTCCGTTGTTCTGTGCTTCATCATCAGCCATTCCAAATCAACTTGAAACACCTTGTCATTTCTGACCTATAGCCCACCCTAAGAGAAAAAACTATCCCCTTTTTTCTTTCCCCCGGGATTGTCAATGCATAGCAGTAGAGATTTGCAACAGTCCAGAGTCCAGCACACTTGTTTTCTAAAGTAGCCAACCCCTTTAGGTTGGATACACATGGATAATTGGATAATTCATGGATACACATTTTTCGGAACTACAGCCCTTCCAACCTTCGAACTATGAAGTTCGCTTGGGACGTCGGAGGTATGTTCAATCTCCTGGTTCTGGCTGAGGAAGGTGAGCATGCCCCTTCACTATGGAAGTGTATTGTGTGATTCCCCGTATATCAACAATATATCAACAATAGACATCCAAAATGATTGTTTTGGAATGTTTTAGATAGGTTTGAGGCACTGCTCATTACACAATCACACGGTTGACAATGGGGCAATGCTTGAATAGTTTAGCTCCTTTGCTGGCATTTACTGGCTGTCTGTAGTTCTATCATATCATCTCATCTCATTCCACAAGCTGCAATCATTGGATTGTCATGACAAGTCCTAACTGACAAACTCATGCATCATTCAGCCAGCATTGCTACTAGGGCGAGCTTCAATGGGAGTACTACTCTGAGAAGAGAGCCAATGCCAGAATATCCCCACCTGCTCGTCTTCAGCTATGAGTCTTATGCCTGATGCAAATCAACATGTTGCAAGAAGCGAACCATAGCGAATCTCATAATTTGGCTTTCACAAACAATTCCAGTCAGATGAGCTGGCCATGGCTGGCCGATCTGCTTGCGGCTGGGAATGTACAAGGACTCACAAATATCGTGCAGTGTTACAAAAAGGTACAGGAAATAATGTCAAGGAAATTCATTTACATATACACAAATTGTATCAAATTATCATAGATTGACATAAACTATGACAGGAAAGGACGCCAAGTTGCCTGCAGAGTTGTATGCAACGCATCCAGGCATTGCGCATTGCCATTGCGTCATGGCTCAACTGCCCAGTTTCTTTGGCACTGCCGTTCAATATCTATGAGAAAAGCGAGATCAAAGAGGATGGACTAGATAACTAGATCCCTAGGATTCCCTAGGCATTTCTTGTGAACTGCCAAAACGCGCTCAATGCTCTGCATCCAGCTCTTCAAGTCCTTCCATTGACATACTTTTCCTCGTCTTTATTGATGTTGAGAGTGTGCTTTGTTCTTTAACCCCGCCATTCTGGTTTGTCCTGCCGGCAGCGGCTGCAGAACCACCTGCTGTGCTCAAGTCTGATGTGGACGAAGCTGGCTCAAAGAAGGTCAGTTGAATAGCTATGGGATGCTATGGGACAATCCTGGAAATTCAGAATATAGTAGTAAAATGCAGAGAGTGAATAAGCGATATTAAGGGTTCGATTTGCATTGAAAGGCTGCTCGTAAAGATCCTCAGCAAATTCATGGTAGCTCCCCGATATCCAGAGGTCATCATAGGGGTCACCTTGAGGTCGCTGCTGGATTTCCTGGGCCTTAAATCCGGGGTGAAACGGCGCAGGGCCCGCGCACTGCGAAGTTTCACGAACTTCGCCAGCTGGGCTACACTAACTGTACGCGACTCATTAGCCACAGAGCAATTGAGTTTGGCTCCCAAAAAATGGATCCAAAGTAATCAACGCTTGAATCAGTTGAATCCGTCTGAAGCATTTCAATGAACGGTTGGAGGATGTTGGAACATGTTGGAACTCCAGTAGGTACACGTCAAACCTCAGTCTGGGAACATCTCTGGGGGCAAAACCCAAACTGAAAGCGCTCACTATGTGGGTCAGACTCTTCACAAAGGTATTGCGGAAGCGCAAGGGGCGAAGGAAGGTGTGTAAGAATGCTGGATTGCATTAGTGTCCTGATATGTCCTGATGCACCTAGAATCACCTAGATGATGTCGTTGCAGCTACAAAGCCAACGGAAGCTAGAAGTGCTTCCAAACATGCGGACGATTCTCGGGATCTCCAAACGTCCTTTCCTTTGTCCAGTGAGCACACTGATGAAGATGTATTACATCAATGTATAATATATATAGAATCAGAATCCGCCAACTTTACCTTTGGAGTGGGGAACGGCGTTCGCAAAGCATGTCAGTGAAACCTTCTCCGAAAGATCACTTCCTTCTCCCCTCGCAATAGCATCAAAGCTCATCGCACAGCTTGCATAATCCACCTGCCAAAGGTTTTTAGCCACCGACAGCTGTAAAGGCATCGAAATCTGTGATACTTTCAAAACTATTTGTATCTCATGGAAGATGACTCTGGGACTTGTGGAGGGAAAATAATGGACAATATCACAACACTGCACCGACATCTCAGGAAATTCCAATTCAGTACCATCTTCCTCACCTACCATCATCTTTAATGTCTTCAATGCCAAACACACGACAGGACAGCTTCCCCAGTATCCTCCCTATGCCATTCACATCGAAAGTTCAGTTTGACAGTGGTAAGTGCTGTAATCTCTGGACATCAGCGGAAATGTGTTGCCACCCCCATCCCACCGCATGAATTTGGCCCCTCGGCCCCTCTCTTCAGCCGAAGCCTCAGCGGTATACCAATGAACGCACCAAATTTGTCTAATTTCGGGATATTTGAATATATTTGAGACATAAACATTACAATCCATTTTGGGCTGTTGCCAATTTGACTGATAGATAGCCATATCATAATTGTGCGTGAGCCTTTTGAAGCAACACTCGCCCATCTTTTTCCGACCGCCGCGTTTCACCTCCTGCGACAGTTTCTGTGGTCGCACCCACCAAACACGCCCTTGATCTTTGAAGGGTGTATTCAGTGTATTCTGACGAGTTGGTGAAAGTATCTCCTTGGCGGAATTTCTATTTCTCAACAAAGCTCAAGAGGGGCTGCAGATAATGCGGTAAAATCGCATGACCTCCACGTTCAGCAACGTGCAATGTTAGCTTTGGGCAGTTTTCTTGATAGACCTTTGTGCCCGAAAACCATGTGATCAAGTCGTCTTTGGCCCACATCAGAAGCAAAGGCATGCACAAGTCCTGCATTTCATTGAGATTTGTGTAAATGCATGATTAATTGCGGTTTGCAAAAAGGCATCAAAACGATTCAACTCTGACCCAATAGTGAAAGTGGCCAACAAGATCAGAAAATCATTTGTACTATTTCATAATGATTGGAGCAGCTTTACTTTATCATTTCCGCGCGTATCCGTTTGATGGCCCCTATAGACGATTGTGGTACTGTATCAGCATGTTTCAGCTGGAAAGTGGCCTTGGCAACAGCTGCACTTGCTAGTGCTGGGCAAATTAGCACCAATTGTCTCACCATGTCTGAGTGTCTTTGCGCAAATTTCGCTGCAACAGCACCTCCCCAACTTTTTCCCATCAAAATCACCGGGTCTTTGCTGTGTGCTGAAATTGCAGTCACCAGAATCTTCATCACATCTTCTTCCCCAACTCCGAGACCAAGACCAGGAGCTGTTCTTGGATTGGAATGAAAATTGGGCAGCAAGACCCGAAAACCCGCTTCCGCGCAAGCTTCAGCACAGACATCCCATTCGCGCAGGACAGCTGATGACATACCTGGACCATGCTACACAACACCCGAACAAGAGAAACACCGAACGAAGTACACACCACGGTAAATCAAAATATAATTACGCAATAATATCCGAACTTATTTTCTTAATATACCTTAATATCGCATAGTAACCAGGACCTGGATCTTCTTTCTTCTGCCTTTCTCTTCTCTCTTCTTCTCTGACTCTTACTCTTCCCGCCTCTGCTTTTCCATCTGTCCATATTGTCGGAAGTTTGACTTCTAAACTTCCTTCGACAAATAGTAAGTAATAGTATGGTCTTATAATGGTAGGGTCCAGCAAAGCACCCTAAATTCTAAGTGGCTGGTAGATGCAAAGGTCCTGCAAAACCTGCTCGCTTCACCCAAGATGCCATGAATAGCAATCACCACTGGTCCATTCTCTGGACCAAAACTCTGGACTGATATCTCTCCCAAATGTGTTTCACAGGCCAGCCTGAGCACCAGAGAAACATGCAAACATCATCAAACATCCCAAAAAGTACAAACAAGATCTGAAGCAACACATAGCAACACTCAAGTAACCGAGATCGAATGAACATGGAAAATGGTACTAGTAAGAGTGTCTGGTGGCGGTGATCCCGCACGTGAACCAAGCTTTGAATCGCGTGCACCCATAAGCACCAGCCAATTATAGCCAATTAATGAATGCTCCTGATATCTCCTGGAAAGCAACCTTCATGAGTATTACATTACCCCAAAAAAGGTTGGTAGCAGGGTGGCAGCATCAGAAGTAGAAACCCTATCTTGGCCAAGCCTTCCATTCATGCTTGAGGCAGACTTAATTACCAGTGCCTGTGTTCACCCTCTTTCATCATGGAGTGTTCCAGGAATTCTGAACTTCTGTGCTGTTAGGATAGTGTTGTCACCTTGGCCTCAGTAACTAAGAGCAGCTGCAAGCCAAAACAGCTTTGAGAGGCCGATCGGAATGTTCACTTTGAAGAAGCTTAGCCACAGAAGGGTGCCAAAAGCCAGGTAGTGACCAGGTGGTGACTTCGCCATGCATATGCATGCTTCGTGACTTCGCCAAAGCTATGCAGGTAAGGTGTTCTGCGCCATCTGTGACGCAAACAAATCCAAACAGCATCTTATTCTCCAGAGCGAAAAACTGAAGGAACATGGTATTCAAACGACATGCAGCCTCTGTTGTCTCACCAACTTTAGCGGGGATCCTGTAACCAAAAGGCAGTTCTGGGACCCCGGCCATCTGACCGCCATCAAAGAGCAGTGATTTAAACCTCAAATAGCGGAACTGTCCAACACAAACCTGTCACTATGCCACTGCCATTCGCAGACCCACACTCCACCGCTGGGAGTGGCGCAACCACTGTCCAAGCATCCGACGAATTGAATGAAATGTACTGCGTGTGGTCCTTGAAAAGCTGTCATGGTGCTATGTCATCTATGTCAGCGGAAGTCTAGCGGAAGCCGTCACAAACTGTGACTCAAACCCACACAGTACTTACAGTACTTGAGCACTGAATGAAAGATATCCCACAGGCAACAAGTCACCAACAGCCATGTCCGATCTTGCAACGTGGCCAAACAGGGGCCTGTGTTTGAACAGGGCCAAACGGTGGTCTTTCGATAGTGAAGCGGTCATCAAGGTGATCCCTTGAGTTGACATTTCTCATATTTTCTCATCATTTCCCTATGCCCTCCACAAACACAAAACAACACAAAGGTATTCAATGATTTGGAGATATTTGGAGCTTCCCAACTAAAGCATACTAAAGCATCATGACAATCATGACCGTCGATAGTCTTGATGGGACGCAATCTGGATCTCACCCTGTCCTTGGTGAGTGCTGCAAGGAAGCCATCTGGCATGTCTGCGACCTCAATGATTGCGGCTTGGTGAACCAATCCCCATCTTCCACAGGGCCTAGGGGGAATCAAAATCTTTGGAAAGTGCCAATCAGATCCAGTGTGGTCTGTTGCTGACTTGCACCAGGACCCTTCACATTATGCGGCACCATTAGTGACTCCTCATTACTGCGGACCTGGAACCATTCTGCACTTCTAAAGATGTTTGCAAGTGAATAGTGAATGCCGACTGAGCATCTGGCGGTCATGCCCCGGGTTGCCAATGCGTTTTGGATGTCTTGCACCTTGACCTCAGAGAGTCGTTTCTCTGATACATATCAGCATAGGATCCTTGATCTTGAAACATATAGTATGCAGTGAGCAACATCATGTAGAAGTCTTACATTTTTGTTTTCAGCCCCAAGTGTCTCGTCATGTCTCATCAAGCTTCATCACTATAGTGATTTTTTTTCCCCCTGCGCAACGCAACATCTGAGGCCACCCAACCAGTCCATTGATGTCAGGACGAAACTGTGCCCATGCAATCCATAAAAGTCGGTCTTGTTCCTGCCACAACCAGATCTGCCAACAGCTGGCGCAGCAATTTTCGGCTGATCAAAGTCCCGGTCCTCTGGCGTTTTGCATCGCAAATTGATCACTCCAGCAAGGAACTCTGTATAAGAGACCTCACTTTTTTCATCTTTTTTTCCGCTCCACTCGATGGGTTCTGGATCGCTCTCAAAGACTATGGGATTGTAGGCGATAAAAGACTAGTCAAGTCGGAGGTTCGCAGAACAAATCTTCTTGGAATCGATCTCTCATTGCTTTTGTGCACATTTGGTCATGTATCTTTACCTGCAACACAAATTAACGTGATGATCTGTCCGGAAAGGCTGTTGGATCTTCCAGTTAGAAGCTATCAAAATCCGAAAACAACTCTGATTTCAAAGCCGTGCGCCAATCATTAATATATCATAATATATATCATTAATAAACAAACGATCACTAGGAACACAGCAAGCATCACTGGATTCTGAAGGCTTTCCCGCATCTTGGGCTACGACTTGGCCAGTTCTGCCAACGTCCAGTTCGTTCACCACCTAACATGCCCATTAACCCTTTAGATCTTTTGATCTTGACTAACCACTAATAATCACCCCATTCCATAATAATAACAATCCCACTTATAATAACTACATCTACTAACACTCATAATAACTACATCTACTAACAATCACCCCATTCCATCCCATTCCATCCCATTCGATCCCATTCGATCCCATTCCGTGCTAAGCACAAGGAGGTTATCTTCACAACATCACAACCACTGTACAAAATTCAATTACCTGACAAGAGTGTCGTCCTTCCTATAAATGACCCCATAAAAGATGTTAGTGTATAATATTGTGAGTCAGATTCTCCAAAAAAGCGGCCTTTTGTGGACACAAACAGCTTCCCCCTGATGACTGATGGACCTGCTCCGCCTGCTCAGCGTGAGCACCGAATTGCATCAAGCCTTGCCTGGTCACCAGTGGTTGCCGTTGGCATTGAAGTTGCCACAGTACAAATGAATGGATGATGCAATTATGGATGTAATTTCCATGGAATACCTATATATTATATAACATAATATATAAATGGATCTTCATGGATTATTGAATTAAATTTTAGGTGCTCTCGCTTTTCAGGGGTTACGGCTTCAACTCGAATCTTGTTGATGATGCCAGGAGCATTGTGGTGTGGTGAATGAAGCCTTCTTTTTTAATTACAGTGATTACAGTAATTACAGCGATTACCATTGCATCCTGGGTCACATCCAAGCTGAAATGTTGCCTTTTAACAGCATTCTTTGGCTCACAGTGAATGCATACTAAAATGTAAGACCGCGCCAAAGCAAACACAAATCGCGCGTTTCCTTCGCGTAAGCCAAGACCATCCAGCGGCTGCGGCATCTGCTAACTGGCACCCTCTGCCAGCTTTCTCTCACTTCACAAACTACAGTACCAACATTGGGGATATTACATCCTCATCATCCTCCAATCATCCAAGCAAGAAGTGTACGGCGTCACGCAAACACGGGGATTCTGTGATTTTCGGAATCACCTCGCTCCAATAAATCTCCTTCTTGCCCCTGCACCCCAACGAGATTCGTGAACATGCTTGGCCATGTACATCCATGAAAGGAGCATCCGTCCGGCATTCCTTCGTGAACATAATTGGCCGCTGACGGCAATCATCGGCAATCCATCTCGTTAGCCAAAATGGAGTTTGGAATCAAATCATTCGATCACTTGTATCCCGTCCCATGAACGCGTTCCAGTTGCTTTCTCAATGCCTTCCCCAATCTCTTAGAGCCTGGCATCCCGATGATCCAAAACTCTGTCGCCACGCCCTTCAACTCCAAACGTTCCACAGGAACTCCGCACAAGCCACGTTGCTGCGCCAAGGTACCCAGCAACAACCGCAGCCGTTGCCATTGATCGCCACCGGCACCGGTGACAGGAATCCGTTGAGGAGATCGCAGATGGGCTAAGGTCACGGCTAAAAGGGCACCATCCTCGTCCAAATGCTCTCCGTGAAAGAGGCTTTGCAGGTCCTCGGCCGTAAACCAATATAGATCAAGCATGATCAAGCCAAAATCAAATGGAGACAAATAAAGCGGTCAACAAATACAATAACACATTTCCAGGAATCCCACGAGAAAATATACAGTAATGTAACATGTACAATTTATTATATAAATTAATGTAAATTATGTATGTATATATAATTATATATATATACAAGTATAATCAATTATATTCAGTCGAATTCGGTACCAAGACATCCAAGACTCTTCCAAAGGACTGGCATATTGTGATTCTGAAGGGGACTGAAGTGATAGCGTGGGATCTTCCAACTCCTGGGATGGCTTCCAGCTTCCATCCAGGCATTGGGTGAAGTCGCAATAGACGCAACTGAAAGGTCCGTACTTCTGGACCTTCTGGTCCCTTGCCGCCCCTCGGCCTGCCTGATTTATCTGATTTTGTTTCAGGAACTGATTCAAACTGAGGCCCTTCATCACCAGTGCCTTACTTGAGCTGTTGTTGGGGAAAACAGCATCACTATCATTGGGCACCACAATCTGCTGAGCGCGAAATCCTGCAGTCAACAAGGCAGTGCTGGACGACAAAGAAGGAGCATCCAACACCAAGGCCCATTTCCGTGCTGCCTCAACTTCCGACCACAGATCTTGTGCCAGTTCTGCCAGCCGCCCATTTACATTTTGCTTCGCAGGGGACCGTGCCTTCTCAGCCCAGCGAAAGGTCTCCATCCGAGCCAAGCGGGGGCCAAGAATGGACAGCATGCGCCGAGGAACCCTGCTGGATGCCCAGGGGATGCCAAGGGGTGACTTAGCGCTTCGGTTTGGGCCACAACATGCTGATGAGACCGAACCTGGCGATTATCATCCACGTTACCAACAGGCTTTCAATCCAAACAAGAGAGGATTGTCAGAAAACTGTGATTACAATAGATCATGACACTATATATATATATATATGTTATCTTATATATATATATTATAAAATTTATCTTGCGAGGAAATCACATTGTTGAAAATCATGTGCCACACTAGTAGCTGGGAGTCACCACACGCATTAAGTCCGCCAACTTCAACTGGGGTGACCCCTACATGTATGAGTTGCCAGCTAGAACATACGAACCTAACGTCATTGCTGAATCGCATGGTAATCTAAGAAGTCAGGCCACTGAACTTTCGGGCCACATCTTTTTGCGTCATCGGCTGAAAGGCTCATCAGGCTCGCAGTCGTGCTGTAGCATTTCCACCTCCAAAGGCCCTGCAGTCAGCAAAGCCGGCTTGGTGCAAGCGTGATCAACCTAGCAATACCATGCAATACCTATGCCATCCTATGCCTACAATCAAAATATGACTCATGCCTCGTTTACCGATCACCAAAGGACTAGACAACATCCTTTTAATCCTAATGCAAGTTTTGACTTTGTTCCAAGGAAGTGTTTCCCAATACAAAACAGTTCTGGATTTGAAGTAAGTTCATCAATTGTTTGTTAGTTCACACAGCATATATATATATATACACATAATTATATTGATTTCTGGCGCATCAACGGCTCTATCATATCAGCAAAACCACAAGATAAGCTAAGAGCCACAGCCACACCACTTTGGTGGGGAGATGTTGAAAAGTTGGAGAAGCTGGACAATCGGCAACCATTCCAAACATCAATAATTGAGACTTGGATCGTGATTCAACCTTCTTCGGACTAGTGTTCTGACACTAATCCATTTCAAAATGCTGGGACGCACCAATCGGTTGTGGCGTTGTGGCATTTTGAGCTGTCAAAATACCAGCGTTCTGATGTCGCCCTGCCTGGCTCTGGCATTCGCTGTGGCCAATAGTTCAAAGACGCTGCCAGTGTCAGGACTGATGGAACCAAACATGTGCGAATCACAAAGGTGTCCTCCGCTGCGTGGGCTTCAGCTCAACTAAAAGACAGCCAACAAGCTCCTACCTACTGACCTAGTGTGTGCTCTCATATGTCTTTATCAATCATTGCTGCTCGAACGATTTTGCAATTTGCAATCCATATGTATATCATATATCAATGATTATCAATGTACATATATCAATGTGATGATGTTGTGATGCCATCGCCATTTGCAAATGCCCAGCATCCATCAAAACTCCGAATGCCATGACAAAGCCAATCTGGTTGTTGCTGGGCACATCGCCTCGGTGGGTCCGGAATTCCCCCAGTGGGTCCAAGCCTCATTCGTTCCATTCGTTCCTGAAAGCCTTGAGCCTAAAATAGCCTAAATCATCGCCTAAATCTCTTACATTCTCTTATATACTATGTGCCCTCCATCTGCAGAGGTCACAGGGAAGCTCAGTCCAAGTCTTCCAAGTCTTCCAAGTCTTCCAAGTCGCTGAGAAGAAGCCCTCCAAAGGCAATTGCCATGATGAGTCCGGCTGCAGTGATGGTGGGACCTGTCAATGTCAAACCTCCTCGGACTGCAGCAGGATTGCCTGAAACCAGGGATGTTGGCCACCTGACCCACCAAATGCAAAAAACAACAAACATGGTGAGAACCGCCAACCAAGACTGTAGTCCTTCAAACCTTGGTGTTCAAGCATTTGCATGAATTGATCTGTTCAAAACTAAATCATGTTACTCCTTAGGCAGATCAAAGCACTTGGAAGTGGTGTTTGTGGGAGCTGCAGACTTGAACCAGAATAATTATAAAAAGAAGACAATCTCTGTGGCCACTTTTTCGGATCAGCTGCTGTAGCCCTTTTTGCGGAGCTCTATGACTCTGGCAAAGAGGAAGACATCATAGTCCAGGGCCAGGCCGATGATGATGGTGCAGGTGAACACGGGTGCAGCCCAATAGAAGCCACCCCCTGGAGGACTGGTGAATGGATTGTTTCCTGGGCCTCCGGGGAGCCAATCCAGAGCACCAAATTGATAGACCCACACAGCGATGCCAAAGACAGCAGCTAAGGGCACCACCACCTCAGTTGATCGTAGAGAGGAACCTGGACTGAAACAAATCATAGTGCAAATTGCTCTGATTCACCCTTGGACTCTCAATGGATGGAGAAACTAAAGTATCTTAAGTTTGTGAGCCTCATGAAAGCGGAGCAAAATTTGACTAAACATTGAGCGAAGCAGCTGTTACAAGCATTTTGACCGGGGCCAGAGCCGCTTTGAATGCATAGGCTATCAGTGAGAAAACTGCTATAACCGTCCCTGAGACGATGTATGGCAGGCGTCCGTAGGTCACTTGCACGATGTCAAAAACCACCGTGAGCGTGCCAAACAACATCACGTTGGATTGTGCATCATCAACGGTCTAGGCAATCAAAGAACGGGGGTCACGGGGTCACAGCATTCAGAGACAAAATGGGAGAAAAAACACCATGTCCAATGACCCATAGTGCCCTACATCAAAGGTTCAAACATGGGTCGCAACATCAAGGGACATTCATCAAGCCATGGGGATCGTTCGATCCAGCTTGCCGGAAAATCTTAGTGCGTGCATGTCTTAGAGATTCAAACTTTGTCCAAGCTCACCATATTCACCATGGGATGGATTGTGCCTATGTAAAAAATAAAAATAAAAAAAATATATACATAGACCGTGCATAGCTATGCATTCTGCTCCTCATCTCATGGGCACCCATTGTGTTTCTGCTGATTTTGATTCTGTCATCTAAAGGTAGTCCTTGGATGTCCTTCGTTCTTCCGTATCCCTCACGCCCTGAAACACGTGCCCATCAGTCAGTTGTCCCAATCCTTGGAAGTTAACAAGTACAATGCTAGGTATGCTAGGTCTGGTCTTACCCCAATGGTGGCTATGATGATGTATTTATTATGTCAATGTATATTTGGGGTCCCATGCTGTATAGGTGATATACCCCATATTTGATACACCCACTATCACCCACAAGTAGCTTTGCCAAGCCGCTGTCACAATGTCTTTGCCCAGGACATGAGCGTCTGCTGTTCGGTTGCCCGTCGCTTTGGCGATGGCATTCCGTGCAGCGATCACAAACGGCCACAAAGTGTCACTGAAAGGATCAAATGGAACCTGATAGTGCCATGGGAAAATGCCACTGTCCAAAGAGTATAACATGATTGTGAAATCATGAGAGTTGCATTCTCGATTGATCTACAGACCTACTATCTCGTACTAATTACATCCTATGTACCATTCATGTTTTGCGACTTGACAGTTTGACAGCCACAGGTCCTGGTCACGGCACCTCTTTCAGATTCTCTCAACCAACATAAACCAACATCTTACAATATTTCCTCAGTCTGTCAAAAATATATCCCGGGTACTTGGCTTGGCAATGCTTGGCACATCTTCGGGACAACAAAAGCTCCATATTTCTCCAAGCAACTGTCAGCATCAAGAGTGAGGAATGCTCTCCGGTCTTGTAGCCTTAGTTATTATATACATGTTGTTACAGCATTTTATATAATCAATATATAATAGTATATATATAATATATATAATTATATATATACGTATATATTATCTTATGTTATCCAATGCTCTCCGTGTCATTCCATTTCATTGTTTGCACCTACCTTTCCAGCAAAACCTGCATGGACATGTTCATGACATCCTGACACAAATAGTGGAACTTGTGTAGGATCAAGATCAGTCGCCCAATGCAAGCAAAGATCGCTGATAAACAGCGTGGCATGCTTTGTATGTTCACCAAACCAGAAAGACTATCGCTCACCATCCGAAACGTCATGATACTTCAATTTACTGACTAGCCTAACTGTCCAAACATTACACTTCACACCACATCCATCTTGTGGATAACCGCATGTAATCAGTGCCAGGAGGCTGACCAGCTTGTTCCACTGCTCCCGGTACGACTCACCGACATCTCCAGGTAAGCTCAACAAGACTTCTGCAGTAATGGGACCAAAAGGATGCCTGGTGGGGATCGACCTGTCAAAATCTGGGCTCTGTTGGAGGTTTCCATAAAATGATGGTATCCCGGTATCCCCAATTTGCGGATGGTTTGTAGTGGAAAATCCTATGAAAATGGATGATTTGCGGTTACCTCTATTTTAGGAAACATCCATATGGCTATGATGGTGATGTCCCTCCAATTTGAATTCATCATCTTCATGTCACTGAAACATGCTGAAACCCAGTCTGTCTTTCACTCGTCCAGCAGATTAAACCGCCAAGCTTCCGAGCATCTTTGGCTGTAGAATTCCAACGCAAACACTTCAATTCGCCATCGGCTGAGCTACCCGAAGGACCCAACGAAGGTACTGGGACAGGAAGCAAAGCAGGTGACAGAAAATCCGTGGCTTTGAGATGAAAGGGTTCTACCTTCGGTGTGTCAACCTCCCCTGAAAAGATCTGACACTGGGGAAAAAATAAAATGCAAATGACTTCGAATAATTTCAAATAACTTGGTGAAGAAAAACATCACAAAGACTAGGAACTGATAGCTCTTGCAAGAGCGCGTTTGCGATGTCGCAACTGAAATTGAAGTACTCATCACTTCGAACCTTGGTAATTTCAGCTCTTCACATCTCTTCATAATTTGTTCAAAGATGTTCAAAGTGTTTTGTGATTTCTTGCTTTAGCATCTTGCAACCACAACATGAAGTCACAGAAATGGCAAGAAAAATTGAGAAAACTATGAAAACTGTACTGTACAAATGAATTCAAGCAATCAGGCAGCGGTGGCGTTGTTCGGACCCGCTGGAATCAAGACATACTGAGGACTCAGCTTCCCAGCTGGAAACTCACTGATCAGTTGATGATAAGCCAAACTGGTGTCCGATTTTGCAGGGAAGGTCAAGGTATTGGCAAAGCTCTCGTGGTAGTGCATCAAAACAGCACAGGCTGGCAGCAGAAAGGCTAAACAAGCGATGGGGATCAGGATCACGCCAGGCCTCAGTGGATCTACCCCATGTCGTGACCTGTTGAAAGGATCGTGTAGATCATAGAAATCATAGAATTGCAGGACCTATGAAATCCATATGAAATCCATTGAAACGGGTTTGATGATTCGCAAACACACAAAAAAACACCGCTGAATCATGCTGAAAGCATCACCCAGCGGCTGCTTTGTCACAACATGAGCAATCCGCTGCCAACAGCCTCCAGAGCAACAACTGATTCTTCCACACCTGCGACCTGCTCGGCGCTCGATTCTGCTTCGAGCGCTTTCAGCACCAAAGAAACCTGCCAGGGCATTCTTTCCAATTTTTGGGATTTGCCGGGCCTATATAATAAGCTTGAAAAGCTTGAAAAATACTGATGTCATTGTCATGATGTTTCACGGTCTTCCTCCAAATTCCAATACCGTGGCATACCGTGACCATCCGTAACTGTCACCAGTCGCTAAGTCTGCGTAAACCATCTTGGAGAGGAACAGCCCTTCCACTTGCGTGTCTAAGCCAGTGGATTTCTGGCTGCATCAACTGACTAACTGATACCAACTGACTGCCTGGAAATGTAGAGATCAGGCTGGGCGTCAGCATCAAGTTCGTCGCTGCACACAGGAAGACGGTCAGTGATGCTCCCAGGCCAATGGTGGCGATGCCGCCACTGGGATAGAATAGAACACCCACCTCAGAACTTATGGATACGTTCGGTTCTTCCAATGTTTTGGGCCTTCAGATTTTTCCATCTTGGTATTACTGTAGGTTGACCGCAGTTATTATACAATATACAATTATATAATGGTAATCCCCAAGGATAGGTATTTCACAAGTAACTCATACCTGGACCATGTTGTTTCTGCCGACTGTCTTTCATCCGAGACACGTAGCAAATGATCAAAACTGAAGCACTGATCATCACCACGTGCCCGCTCTGTCTCATCATGGATTTCAATGACATCTCTGTGGAAGCACCAGATTGCACCTCCTCCATGTATCGTGTCAACATAAAGAGCGAGTAATCAATGGCTAGAGCAATTCCTCGTCATGCAACATACATTGACTGGGTGGCTTGCCCCGAAGAAGGCAAAGGGAAAGAAGTGGTACGAATCCTATGATACAACAAACAGGCAATGGAACAAAACTGCTATGTCTGATTGTATGTGGAGTTTAGATTAGATGAAATATTGTCAGTCTCTGGCGTCCTTTTTTCAATCGACCTTCGAGCTTCGGTCTCAGATCTCCTTCTCAAACGTTGTTCATTTGGAGACAGACTATGATTCATGAGTCCAATCCCGTCATCAATGAAGAAATTGTGCTGCAAAGTCTTTCATCGCATTTTTTGATACAGACACGTGCATTTCAGAACATATATATATATATATAACGAGCTCACAACTGTGCCTAGTTCAACAACCATTTGGATATTTACAGTACATCCCAGACAACATCATCAAATTATATAATATGGTACTCATGTGGAGGGCATGACCCCGAAACAATCAGGGAGTGTATCCTAGGGTGAAGAAACCATCTGCTACCTTACAGGCCTCACTGAGATTTCTTTAAGATTTAGTTTAATTAGTCTATTTACTTGTAACTACTTAATACTACTTACATATTACAATATCATAATATATCATAATATATCATGATATATCATGATATAATATAAATTCTAAGCATTGTAAGTTTGTGGTGAACTCTTGGCCCTTGGCCATGCCGATGCCATCGTGCCAAGGCTGCCAAGTCTCCCAGAAAAACCATGGTGCTTGGTGCCAGTGGTGAGATATCCACAACGAAGACAGCGAAGGGTAGGAACAGTCCAAGAGCAGAGGATAGACTCAAAATCAAACAACCTGATTCTGCGGTCAAGCTGATTGACTGAGTCGGGCTAAACATGCTAAACCAAAATGCCAAAAAAAACTCAGTTGTCTCACACCGTGAAACAAATGGGGATCAGCATCAAGCGAAGAGAGCCAACTCGCGCGGCCAGCACCAATAAGGCGAAAGGCATCACGACGAGATCCTTTTTTTCGATGTCGTGCCTGATGGCAGTTGACTGCACACTACAATCCGATACCTTATGATACCTTCCTTGATGTGGTGGCAATGTCAACAGCGGGTGGCCATAGTACTGGTGTTATCCTACATCGTGCCATACATTCAACTTGAGCTCGTGGGTGTCAAAGGTGCTAAACTAATTGTTGATCAAGCTCTCTTTACCTTCCATCTTTTTGTACTTAAGGGATCTCACCTCAATCCACAACAACAAATATCAACAGTTCATAACAGTTCCACTGTTGCGCCTGGTGGAGGTCAGCGTATCCGTAAACAGTGCCAGTTGCCCTGTCAGGCTGATGGAATGGTCGCTGCCGTTGCTACCCGCTTCTGCTCGGAGCTCCTTGACCGTCTTGCGAATCTGGTCCAGCCTGGATGGGAAAACACACAACGAAGGGTTTGAATATGTTTGAATGTTAAGCGGCTGGTAATAAAATGATAATGTTGGTCTGGTGTTGATGGTGAATAAACTGTGATGAATATGGTTGAATGATATTTGATCATTTCTGGATGATTTACAGTAAGCGAAAGTGGAAAATCATGGAAAATCATGGAACATCCGCAAGCTTTGGATGGTGTTCCAGTGGAATGGTAACACTTCCCTTGCTTCCCACTTCGACTTGGAGCAAGTTTTCCCGTGAGAGTTGGTCATGGTTGAATGATCCAGAACAGACACATTCAACAACTAGGAACTAGCACTCAAATAGCAACATGTTGCCCTATTTTGCCCGGGTATGTATACCTTTTCAGATCTGCTTTTGGAGATAAAGCTTTGAGAATCAAACGAGCAATGATTAAAACACTGTGTATGAGGGTCAAAAAAGTCTCCTAGGGGGTTCCGTCTTTCCTTCTGGATGGTCACAAGGAAATGTCAACTTAAGTTCAGCGTCACCTGCAACGCAACTCACCCCAACAGTCTTCAGCTGGTTCGCATCCCATTCCCAAGTCACATTCCAATGACTTCACGCTGTCTGGGCCCCACAGTCCAGGAAAGTTGAAAGAGCATCGTCTGATTGGATTTCGCAAGGAAAGGGCTTGGAACCCCAAGACGTCCGGGTGAAGACTCAAGGAATTGCCTGAGGACCAAGGTAAAGGTGATGGTTGTTGGGTCTCTAAGCTATTTCCACCTGATGGGTCTATAGCATCTTGTGTTAATAAGAGGGAACATAGGGTTTGTATTGCACTGCAGTGAACAAACGAGACTTCAGTGTGGGAGATGAGAACACAAGACACTGTAACTTGCCGATTGCAATAAATACATGTAATTACATGCAAAACATGGAATGCGTTCGTATATTCTAGATATAGTCTGATATAATTAGTATGTAAATAAACATCATTTTGTATGCTATCACAGAGGCTTCCCACTTCAAAGAGACCCACATCGAGCTGCAAGTGATCCGTCCAGTTGTGGAGAACACCAGGATGAGACGCGGCTAAGGATGTACAAACTGCGCGTAACCTGCAGAGCCAGGGAGATTTGCCCACATCATGTCCTCGTGGAAAAACGCAAATGTCTGATGATCATTGAGTAATATTTAATATTCCTTATATATTCAATATTATTTTTTTTTTCTAATTTATTATGGATTATTTGCATATTATATTAATCAATATTAATCATATAATGATATACGGTATACGTATATAATCGTATATTTATGTATACTGATAATTACATCTTCCCCTAGGCAGTTGGAGCATCCGCTGCCGGTGCCCTGGTGCCCCTGGTCGCCCCTGGTCGCTGAGCAACTGCTGAACGGCCGTTGAAGCAAAGCTCTCGTTGGCGATGGATTTGCAGCTGTGGCAGCTGATCAAAATCAACTCCACGTCCTGGTGTTATTAAGGACTGACCATGTCTGAACTCTCACATACCCATTAATAATATATTAGAATCATATGAATGATGTAATTGATTATATGAATTATGAATCATATAATATCATATAATACTATCTCAAAAACTCAGGAACGGTAATAATTCATATCATCGTATAATGTGTATACATATATATTTATACACTATACAATCCATAATCAATCCTTTCTAATTAAATTATAATCCTAACATGACGGTCTAAATCGGTCGGTCAGAATTTAAATCATTTAATCAATCATATACTTAATCTATTTTCGTGGTCCATCCCTAGGCGCCTGATTCACATTGTCAGGAAACTCTCGTTCAAAGGCCAATTGAGCATCCTAGGCGCCCAGAGCTTCCAAAGAGGTGTTGAGTTGGATTGGAAGCATCCAACCAAAAAAAAAGTGAAACCGAGTAAGGAAAAAGTGTGTCGTTTGAAACTAACGACTTTTGAATGTCGCGATTCTTCGATCTTGATGTTCAGAAGTCAAAATACCATGACAAACCCAATCGACAGCCGAGCATCATAAGTTTGTGTGCCCTTCACAGGCTCAAAGGTAAACCTCTGATTGATTAGAGGATTTAGAGGTGTCACGGAACACTAAAGCGGAGTGCGCGGCTCCAAAGTTGCGCAAAGAATCTGAAGTGTGTAGTTCTTTGACAGAGTTCAGCAGGCCAGTAGGCAAGCAAACAACGGAATCAAACGGTTGGTTCCATTCCAGGGTGACAGTCAGGACTGACACTCAAGAGGAATAAAACAAAAGCAGCAGCTAAGTACTACTGTAAACAACCGCTCTCTACCTGTTTGTCAGTGACATGTCTTTAAATTCAACCCACTGTCCAATGTGATACCATGACAGTACCCGCAACTCGTTGACCACACCTCTTGACGCACGGCCAAGGAGCTTGCAGTGGTCCACCAATCTCAAAGCAAATGGGCCACAACAAATTCCAAGGATGAGCCAAAAGCCCAACACAAACCTTGGCTGTAGCACAGGCCTTCATCAAACCGCTGACTTCTCTTACTTCAGCCTTTACTTCTCTTTCTAGGAGGGTACCCTGAGCCCGAATTAATCCAATTAATCCAATGAATCCAAATTCTGTTCAGCAACCGACGACGATGAATCAGAACATCACAGAACTTCTCCAGAGTTTCCATGGCAACACAAGCTGTCGCCAGCAAAGCCAGGCAGTTCAATGATCCAGCGAGGTGCGAGGTGTGGAGAAATCTGACTCATCTGGGTCGAAGATATGACCGGCCTAAAGGATCCTAAAGGCATGCCTCGTGCGAACATGTTCGCGCGAACAAACTTACACCATGCAATCTCATGCTTTGCTTCCTTTCCCACCTCTCTCATGATCAAACTGTGATATAAATTGATATTGGCTCGGGACACTTGGAGATGTATGTCAGTCTCATGCGAAATGCTACAGCCAATGGCTCCCTGTGGGCAAACGAACAACAAATGGACGAAAGTGTTTGTTGTATGCAAATCTCTAGAAAAAGCATGAAAAAGCAGCAAAGAAGGAGACAAAAAGCTATCTAGTGGCCAAAGTCATTACTCCGAGTACTAAGTATGTATGCTACAAGTTGCTACAAAGTACTTAGATCAATCGTTCATATTTTTCCATTGATCATCATCCTCCCACAGAAAAAGATATAATGTAAAGGGGTGCTGCCGCCTGAGCTCTTCGGCCGAAAGATGTCCATCTCCATCTGCGTCAAAGGCTTTGAAGGCCTGCCATCCGGATGAGTCAACATGGAACACAGAAATGGAGTCAGATATGGTCTGATAGATTGGAATGATGCATGGAACATGGAGAATACATAACCATATTAATTATATTATATGTTTCTAACGGAAGTTCAAGTCGATTGTCTGGCATGCATTCATGTTTTCTACTAATCTTCGAGATGCTTTGAATCCCAGGGCAGCCAAACATCCAAGTGAAGAAATCCAGCGACCCCGGGGACCTCATTAACCTTTGTCTGCTGACTTGCATCCAGTTGCGTTGCAACCTCAGGATCAATAATCAAGAAGCTTTGGACCATTGGATGTCTACCTTTGGACCCAGGGACCTTTCTTATCGTTTTTTGTCTGGGATGGGTCGGATGGGTCGGTTGACCATTTGTCCGGTCAATGGTCAATTGCCAGGTTGGGTTATCTCCCCGCGCAAAAAAAAAAACCTGGCATCAGCGGGGTCCCGGGGTCCCGGGGTCCCAGCGAAGCGAGTCACAAACTTTTCAAACTCCGATCTTTGGCCAACCTGGGTCGCTGCCCCGCTGAACGGACCATGATTCAAGTGGTCAGGGACCAGCAAACATGTGCGCTAGAGGTTCACCTCTAAAACACCTGAGCAAACTAGGACCATCTAGGACCTAGGAATACAGTTCAGTGTAAAATAGTAGTGTAAATGGTTTGACAACAAATGCCAAACATTTGCCCAAATAGTTGCAGCAACACAATCGTTGTTCCTTTCCTGTGCTGAAATTCCTTCGCAAACCCACTATTTTTAAATTCCGAAGCAATAAACCTGAAACCTGAAACTTTACGACTATGACATAAGTAGCCTTAAAGCGCTAAAACGCTGAACACTAAGACCCTAAGATCCTGAAGCTTAAACCCTTAATCACTGCGTTTGTCGCCAGTGAAGCACGTTGACCCTGCTGAGGGTCCATGCGGCCAACAAGCTGCGAAGCTGATCGTCATTTAGTACACCTGCTGGGTTGCCTCGGCCGCTGAGATTTGAGGCTTTTCTATGTGGACTTCGTTTGTGGGTTTTGGATAATTTGTTCATGCATATGCAGTATTGGGTGATCGATCCATCTATTGTTGCAAGTGCTGATTCCAGACCCTTCCAAACATTCTGCTCATGATGATGGCTCTTTTGCACTATCCAAGTTTTCCCTTGAGCATTCTCTCATTTGGCAGGACCATTTGATTTTGTTACACCGGCAAAGTCCCACGGTGAAACCCACGATGGTTTCTATTCAGGCTCCAGCTGTGACCTGCAAGACCCATTTGTACAAACCACCTGACCAGGGATGTGGTTGTGCCGGGACTGTAGCAGCCCAGTTATTCAAATGCTGCAATGATTTTCATTCATCTCCAGTTACAATCACTTACAATCCAGACACCATTTTGATATGTTGAATTGACAGCCCGTACATTCTCCTCAGCCCCTTCCTTTCCTTTCGCGCACGCGGCACCTATCCTTCAGGCAGCTCTGTGCGGTTGGCCGTTGGTGCTCCTTTTTTTGAAGCATCTGCCTCTGTGAGTTGCCGTATGAAGAGACAATGGATTCAGACCAATAGAATGTGTTGACTACAGTAATTCAAGAGACGTCCTCAAACTGTTGAACAAAGCGGTGGAATATGTCCTGAACCAATCTGCTGAACACTCAGCCACTTCACAAACTCACATCTTTGGTTGAATTAGCAACTCTGGAATCCATTTAATTCCATTAACCCGTATTAATCCGTATTAACCCTATATAAATCATCCAAAACTTGGGATTCCCTACAAAAACCCACAGAAAAAGGTAGCCGCCTCGCCTACAAATCTGCTGTGCTTCATGAGTCGCTCCTCCCATCGCGGCCTGACTCGTCGCAACATGGCAAAAGGGCTTCACAATAGGAAACCATGGTATTAATTGTGGTATATATTCTGGTATTAATAATGTATTAATGGTATAGGTATAGTATATATCAATATATATATATATATATCATGATTTCATGGGATAATTGAGAGATAGTATGGTAATTTTATGTAATTTTCAGTAATGGATTCTAATAACAAAGAACTACGACTTGAAACTGGAGATTTTTCTGATCAACCCATGGGATTTGGCTATCCCAATTGCCATAGTGATTGTCATAACCAAACAAAGCACCTTTTTGGATAGTGCCAAGAGATCATTTTAAGAGTAACTCCAGTTCGGGGAGTTGAATTGCATTTGTTTGTCACAATTTGGACAATAGTCCAATTATCCAAGCATCAAATGGAAACTCGATCTTTGAAACCCAGGTCGGCTCAGATCGCTGCCCAATCTGGCTCTTGCCGAAGCGCTTTCGGAAACTCCTAGGGACTTCGACACCGTGATGACGTGGTGAACCCAGATGAAATTTTGTTTGGAATCACGGAAATAGCAAAGCTGCAAAGTGTGAAACAATCTGAAGCACTTCAACCTTTGTGATTGGCAAGTTATGTTTTGTGATGTCCACCTTTGATGCACACGTCTGAATTTTGATGATTCTTGGCCACGACGTTGCAGCAGTTGTTTAGGTTGTAATCTCTTCTCCCTATTACTAAAACTCACCCAAACAATAAAAATAGGACTGGATTGGCACTTTCGGGTCTTTTTTGGTTGCTTACATGTCCTAATTCATCAAGTTCCCTCTCACCACTTTCTAGGTTCACTGTGCAACAGCTTAATTAGTTTTCTTCGAAGCTACCAACACGCCAAATGCATCAATATACTATTCATTACCACTGTTGATGCGCGGCAATTGGGAATATGCATACACTATACTATAGATCACTATAGATTATGTACTGCTGATACATCTAGTCCATTTGATCGCACGAACGCACAAACATTCGGAAGGATTGAATGTCTCATATGGATTCATATGGTATGATAATATTATGGTATGTTGCAAAGCAGGTGATCAGTATCCTTGACCGTAGCCGCCACAAAAGGAAGACGCCCAGAGAGGAGGAAAAAGAGCATACAACCAGCGGACCTCAGGAAAGGTGGTCAGCAATGCCCCAAAAAAAAATATGTCGAAAGGGGATCCGTTTTTTTTCATGTTGATTCGTTTTTATGGATGTTGATCTAATCACCGTTTTAAAATGTTTTAAAGAGATTGAAAGAGTCTCCTTGATCTCACGGGAACTTTGGGGCATGTTCCACAGTAGTGTTGGTTCTGCGACTGAAGCTTTCTGACGGTAGCGATGGATCGTTGACTCTTTGCGGATGTTCCTGACTTCTTAGTATTCCAACATGATATCGTTTTTCAGCACTGCTTCTTTTTTGTCGCACCTCTGGGCAAGAGTATATAACTATATATAATTGATACTAATTGCATTGCCACCAACCAGCCTTCTCTTCGGGGTATCCTGGGCGATCCCGCCTCTGCCCTCCCAATCGGATACCATTGCAAAGCTGGGGTCCCAAACCACACATCGCAACTCTTGCTGAAATTTCCTTGCCAAACCTGGCTCCACCAAATCGAAGAATCAAGGGGGCAAAGTGGCCAAATGTCGACTGTGGGAGAGATATGGAGCCCACACACATTTCCACATGCATATCCATATCCCTATCTATCCCTATCTATCTCTATCTATCTCTATCTATCGTTATCTATCGCTGTTTATCGCTATTTATCGCTATATCGGTATCTACCTTTGTCCACCTATCTATGTGCGTCTATCTACATATTCACATCTACGTATAGACGATTCAACTTGATTGCACCCCAGCCTCCGGTGCCATGTACGGTGGAGTTCCCGACCTTGGTCCGTAAAGCCAGGCCCATCAAAGCAACTGGCAACTCAGTGCTGGGATGAGTACATTGAGTCATTGAGCATCAAACTTCATGCCAATATCAATCTTATCCAATTCTTATCCAACCTTCTGCTTTGATTTCTCGGATTTCAAATCCTCCTGCATCGACTATCAGCCAACCAACACCTGAACCAAGGACTAAGTTCTGCCAGTAGTGTGGCTGGCAGATACCTACTTTGCGCATCTTTGCTCAGGTTGTGGCACGACATCACTCCGGTCAGTGGATCTAGCAAAGACCTGTTGCCGCATGGCTGAAATCTTCTCATTGCCGGCTTCACTGACAACGGCTTGTCCAGGATCCAAAATGGTCCAATAATGTCCAATGTCAGGTTTCTTTCAGTGGATCAATTCTAGCAGGATGCCAGCGTTAAGCTGTATCGATCCACCCGCGGGATCCGATCCTGTAGCTCTTTTCCGAAATTTGATAGTGCTTTGATCCAGTGTCTTTCCTCGGCACCATCATCCTTGCCTCTGCCAAACCAAAGTCCACCACGACCTGACTTATCTGACGTTCTTCGCACTCAGCGGATACTTTTGGGAAAGCGCCACAAAATGCCATGACTGGTAAATCTGATTAATGGCTTCAACCAGCACTCTACTGATAGGAGTCATAAGTGTGGATCCAAGAGAAAAGTTTCAGTGACAGCATCCAAATCACCGTTGTCTCCCCGCAAGCATGCATCCAAGCAGCAACGTGCATTTGCGCCACCGGGGTGTCCTCTCGGGCAGCTGGTCCGTGCCGGTCGAACAATCTTGGCATCAGCGCCAACAAGCAGTGATAGAATCTGGCTGATCATTCCAAAGACAGCCATTAGCACATGTTACATCGATTTACATCATATCTTGCCAACAATATTCGCTTGATGCATCATCTCTGCATAATTCTGCATACATATTCCGCCAGCCAGTTTGGCAGAAACAAGAACTCACATCACATCCATTCACACACCAACGGTCCCGGGTTGTGGAGAGCATTACGTTCTCAGGCTTAAGGTCCTGCAGTGGTGCTCGTGGGGTCTGGCGATTGTTAAGTCATCGAAAAGGAAGAATGATCATCAATTCTCGGTTGAATCGGCCAATCAGGCTAAACCTCACAGCTTGAACATAGCACATGTGATTGAAACCAGCAAGAGAGTAACATTAGGTCATTCAACCCTCACCAGATGTTACCAATCTCAATTTACAGATGTAATTCGTGTATCGGCGAATCACCACATTGCCCAAGTCCTTGGCTACGGAACTCGGGCT